AAAAACAGCAACCCCTTCTTCTTCTCAATGCCTTTTGCCTGATTTTTGATAAGTAAATAGAAAATTTTATAAATTTACATATGTGTGGGGGAGGTTTGTCTCTGTTTATGTGTGTCTGTGAATGTGTATAAAGGCAATAAAAAAGAAACAGAATTTTAAATTAGAAAATATTAGTTAGCCAAAATGAAGAGGATGAGCAAAAAAATCTCCAACGGTATCTCAACGAGTGTACAGTTATGTATTTGCATGCTCTCTCTCTCTTTTCGTTTTCTTCTATTCCTCCTTGCTTTTGTGCATTAGTGTGTGTGTGTGTGTTCTATATGTGTGGAGACAGGATCCCCATATCATTGCCCATCTCTTTCAACATCAATACATCATTTTTGTCTTTTCTCTGCCTTTATGTGTGTGTGTGTGTGTGTGTGGTTATTTCTATGTCTGCCTGTGTATGTGATTTTATGCCACTCTTCTCACTTTGTTTTTCCTTTTTTGGTTTTTGTTGCAGTTTAATTTTTTTTTCTCCCCCTGTGGTGGGGTTTGAACTCGTTCCTTCTTTGTATGTGTCTGTGTTTTGGGTATTTTTTGTTTAATATTTAAATAAATAATTAGTAAAAGGGATATGCACATGTGTGTATATTTCGCACACCCTCCAAAAAGAACCAGCTCTGTGTGCGTTGCTAATGATGTTTGAAATTGTAAAGCAAATGCAAAGGCATGCCCCGAATCTGAAGAATATATATTTTTTTGGGGGGCCAAAAAAGAAGAGGTGAGGGCTTTTAAGCTTGGAGTTCCTGGGGTATTTAGTAGAAAAGCAGACCGAGCAATTAATGGATAACAGTTGAGCTGCTTAACTGTATATATATATATATATAAATATATATATAATTATTTAATAATACAGTTAGAGTATTTAAAATGTACCAAGCCCAGCGTGGTCACACGGGGAAAAATATTTAAATTTTCGGTTAATATATAATCTATTAAATATTAGGGTTACTATGGCTAGTTTTATTATTTTTTAAATTTTTTATATCCGATATTTGTATGTTTTTATTGTATGCTTGTGGGTATGTTGTACTTTATTTTTATGGAATATATATCTCTAATTAAGCATTCGCCGTCCATTTGTTCTCTTTCCTTGCGCCTAATGTCAGTCTACAATAATTTTTCTTTCTCATTACACTGAAACATACACGCCCCCATATATATATGTATATACCTAAACCCTTGAAGCCATCTTTTACTTTTCCTAAAGCTTTATCTTTGGCTTGTGCTGTTTAATGTGTATATAATTGTGAAAAACGCTTTGGGTTCGTCGTCATCTCTTTTTAATGGGGATTGGGGGCAAAGGATTTCTCCATGACAGCCTGTCATGCCGTGTAGGCGGTTACGTGGGAATCATGGGTTAAGGGAGGGACTTTTGAAGAGTCCTTCGAATGTTTCACCGCTAACTAGAAAGTTGAAAATATGCTGGGCTTCATAGAAGTAAAGGCGTGTGCCACCTTAACCAACTAAAAGTCCCCTTTCAATTCCACGTGTTTTTCGCTTGTTGCATTGATTTTCTTTGATTTATTGTCTAAAAACCGCACACAATGCAGCCTCGCGTGTTAACCCTTTCCAATCGAATGATGTAGCTACCCTTTTTCGGGCAACACGGGGTTGAATATGATCCCCTGACCCCCTGCCGCAGCAGCAAAAACCAGAAGAAGATGAAGGCACTCGAGCTTAAGTTGAAGCACACAATTCATAACATTGCCTTCGTACTAATTACAAAAAGTGCTCTCTCGCCTAACCAACCTCCCCCTGGACAACAAAAAATAAAAAAAAAAAGTGCGGAAATCGTGAAAAGCAGAAATCCAGAAGCTCAGAAATCCCGAGGTCCCGAAGTCCTGACAGCAGCTGCTTCTTGCTCCTTACTCCTTGCCCAAATGAGTAAGAGAAGAATTCCCCCGGTCTTGAGGCAAACTCACTTCAGACAAACAGCTTGAGACAATGCTGCATGCTGCAACTTTCAGAGGGTGTGGCAAACAGGGGGTTTTTTGGCGAATGAGTTGACATGTGCCAAGCACACGACAATTGCCAGCAAACAACTCAAACACACACTCACACACACACACGACTACGGGCAGCAGGAAAAAAAATGGGAATAAAATAAAAATAAAAATCAGAATCCGTATCAGAAACAGGCGCTCAAAATTGTATAAGGACTTTCAAGTTAGGCTTGCCAATAGTTGATACAATTGCAGCCAAAGAACAAAACAAATGAGCGCTATAGAAAAGGGAGTTGAGTGTGAGGAAGAAGTATATTTCTAATGACCACCACATATTTATAGGAACATAATAAATAATATGTATGACTTAAATGTAATTCATTTAACCTACTATATATATTTCAACAAACCAGTCATAACCATTTCAATCTCCATTCAACTTTAGTATGACTGGAATTTTAACAGGCCCTTAGACAAGGGTCTAACATTTCACTTAACATTTTTGATTCGCGCGCAAGAGTTTTAACGTTACCCGTTTTAAATATATTTATATATATATATAAAAAAAAAAAATTTTTTTGGAAAAAGTTCCTTTGAAGTGGCAACCGGCAAAATATTAAATGAAACCCAAAAAATAAAAAGTGGAGCCGGGGCAAGCTAAAAGGGTGCTCAATACGTAAAGCCTTGCCTTGCCATAAGCTGACCACACACACAAGCCAAAAAGGACGAGAACGAGAGTACCATTGAAGTGGGCAGAACCCCAAAATAAAAAGAGCCCATCTTGCTGAACAAGAAAAAATAATTTTTTTTTTTTTTAAATAAAAAAAAAACCAGCACAGCCACCCGCATTTTAGTTAATTAACTTATTCGGTTTGGCAACTGGCTGCTAAACCAAATGCTCGAAGTGGCCAAAGAATCGTTGGACTTTGGCTGGGATTAATTGATTTGCCCAGCCTTTACGAAAGACTATAAGAAACTATTTTTTTGAGGTGGAAAAAGTAGACACCAACAAGCGTTGCCATTCCCACGGGGATTGCCTTTCAGTTTGATCGATTTCGGTGGTCGTTTTTGGTCCAGCACAAAGTCAGCGAAAGAAATGGAAATGGAAACCGGGTATCAAAGTGCAAATGAAAATACGGAAAAGTATCCAACTCTAGCCTCTCCCTCTCTCTCTCTCTCAATGTCTCTTGGCCATTATGAAAACAATTTTCAAGCTTAAGCAGCTCACGGGAAACGGGCCAAAAACCGGCAACAGCAACAAGAAGACAGAAGTGGCATCAGCAGCCGCCAACCGAGGTCTTAAAACAGAGCAACCACTGAATCACCAAGAGCGAGAGCCACCCAAAGCCGCCCAACTCAGACCCACGAGCAACCAACACCACCCGCTTTCCAGCTGTCTGCCTGTATGTCTGGCATTTGAAAGGACGTCGGCCGAAGGACAAAACTGCACCCAACCACTTGTCTGTTGTTTGTACTTAAGAGCTTTTAAATATCATAAATATATATATATATATATCTATATATATATATGTTCAGTTCCCTTTCCTTTCGATTACATCGTAATGAGGATGATGATGTTGACAAATATGCCTGGCAGGGCAAGAAAAATGATTTGCTTTTCCATTCGGTTTTCCCAGGGATATTTGTCATTAAGCGAACTCAAAATCATCGATTGCTGAACGATTTTTGGGGTTTGAGTTTAAGCCATTAGGGAAAGTTCTACAAGGGAAGTTTTCAAGTTTTAAAAGATATATTATTTCTAAAACCAAGCAATATATTTTCAGTAATCGATTTGGGACTACAATTAATTTCTATAAATAATCCTAGAATAATTATATAAATATGAAATCCACAGTCTCGAAACACAACAATCTAGCTCCTTCCCATTTTTACACACTTTATAACGATTTCCTCCTTAAATTTATTGGGAAAATCTAAAGGAAGATATGAAGTAGAAACTTGGCCAAGAACCAAAGGCAAAAAGCTTAAAACTCATACCAAAATAGTGGTTTTTTTTGCAGCACTAGCCTATCGACTAATTTCCAAAGTTCTTCATTGCCTGCAACGCCCACTGAGGTCCGGGTTTTTTGGAAGCTTCCGGTATTTATACAAATAAAATTGCACAAAAACCTAACAAACCGAACAAATCAACGGTAAATCGAAGCAAAAGGCATTGCCATTTGCTTGGGCTTAGGCAAAATGAATATGGAAGCCTTAAAACTTGGGGGGATATCCTGATTCAGGTCTGAGCTTCCAGACTAATTTGCCAAAAAAGTTTGCACCGCATATTTTTGTAACGTTCTTTGGGAGTTCTCTCTCTCTCTCTATATATATTTTTTTTTTGTATTTTATTTTGTCCTGCCCAATGGTTCCTGTTGTGTTGTTTTAATTTCTCATTTGGCATTTGAATCCCAGAGAAAAACAAAACTTGTAAGGCAAAAACCATCGAAGGTCAGGTCACTAATAGCAAGGAACTTTTCAAGTTGGGCTTATCGATACCGACGATAAACTATAAATTTGTTGGCCCTGTTTCTACATCCTTGTTGTTGTTTTTGGTTGCTAATGCAGACGAAAATACCCCGGCATGTTTTTTAAGCCTTCCGTCTGACTCCTTTTTGGCCTATTTGGTATTTTCTAGTGTGAATGTTTGTTTGTATGCTTTTTTGGGAGTTTTTGGTTCTGCTATTTTCAATAGAAAGGGAAGGAACGACCAAAAGTTTTTGCAACGTATTAATTTGGCTAAATTTAACCCGTAATGACTTTAAAAGTAAAATTAATGAGGGTCGATAGTTGGCGAAGGCTGTATAAGTTGGGGTTTTTCAAACTTTTTGTTTTTTGTTCGTCGTGCCGAAAATAACATATGTGCCTGGCATTAGGTTTAGCAAGAAGTAATGGTTCTTCACGTCTCATACAAAAAAAATATAATGAAATTACTTATATACATATTGAAATATATAAAAGATACATTTTTAAAATATTCTAATAATTGTTGTTTAATTTTCTATCTTACAGCGGGCTACCCTGGCCGAGAAGGAAGTGAACACACTCAAAGAGCAGCTATCCACCGGCAATCCCGACAGCAATCTCAACAGCGACAACAGCGATACAGCAGCAGTTGAAGCAGTTGTTGCAGCAGCAACAGCAACCAACGGTATCGAAGAGGAGCAAAAGCAACAACAGCAACAGGAAAACGACAGCGAAAAGCTGCTGACCAGCTCCATTGTTGCGGCCATAACGCTGCAGCAGCAGAACGGCAGCAATCTGCTGGCAAATACAAATACACCGTCGCCATCGCCGCCGTTGCTCAGTGCCGAGCAGCAGCAACAGTTGCAGAGCAGTTTGCAACAGAGCGGCGGCGGTGTTGACGGTGCCTGCCTCAATCCGAAGCTCTTCTTCAATCACGCCCAGCAGATGATGATGATGGAAGCGGCAGCTGCGGCAGCAGCGGCGGCTTTGCAACAGCAGCAGCAACAGCAATCGCCATTGCATTCTCCGGCGACTGAAGTCGCACTTCCCACAGAACAGCCAGCAGCAACGGTAAGTGGTGCAGCAACAGCAGCAGCATCAGCGTCTGCGACAGCAGCAACTTCCATTGCTAGTGGCATCATCAGGAGCGGTAGTAACATCAATCACACCAATAATAGCCACCAGGACGAAGAGGAGGTGGATGAAGAAGAAGAGGACGACGAAGAGGATGAGGACGATGATGATGAGGAGGAGAATGTCTCGATGCAATCGAATGCTGATGATATGGAACTGGATGCACAGCAAGAAACCAGAACTGAGCCGAGTGCAACACAACAACAGCAGCACGATGAGGATCTTAAGGAGAACAAGGATGCGGCGGAGGCTAGTTTAAATGTTAGCAATAATCATACAACCGATAGCAATAATAGCTGTAGTCGAAATAATAACAATGGCGGCAATGAAAGTGAGCAACATGTGGCCAATTCTGCGGAGGACGATGATTGCGCCAACAACAATACAAATACCAGCAATAACAACAATACTACCAACACCGCTACCAGCAACACCAACAACAACAACAACAACAGTAACAACAGCAGCAGCGGCAATAGCGAAAAACGCAAGAAGAAGAACAACAACGGCCAGCCTGCTGTTCTATTAGCTGCCAAAGATAAAGAGGTAAGTTTCATTTAACCGAAGGTTAAGTCTGAAGTTAAACAGTTGACAGGAGGTTAGAGAAGTCAATGTTACTCCTGCCAAAGCTGTTGGGAATAAAATATCTGTTAAAATCGGTTTTAAGAAAAGGGTATAAAATTTAAAGTTAAAGTATAATATTCAGTTCCCCAGCAGTTTGCTCAAGTACTAGAAATTAAACACAACCTCAACGAACATCAAACTTCTGTTCTCTGCCCAACTTTAAGTGACTTTTTAATTTAATAAACTGTAGCGGACCTGGTCGAATATCCTTAAAAAGTCAACAGCCAAAACCCCCCAACCACAGTCAGACAATTACCCAACGCAATGAAATGTAAAACCGTTAAGATTAGACAAACGCCGCCGCCGCCCACACCGGAATTTCAGAATGTGCTAGTGTGTTTTTCGTAAGGGGAAAAAAAGGATGCCATGGGCTTCCAAAAAGAGTGAAGGAAGCGTAAAGAAAAAACAAGTTAACCAGAGAACCCAAGGAGAGGAATTTCAACCGCAGACGACGACGCACGACTGACCGACCGCCGTTGCCTCAAACCAGTACGCACAATTGAGAAAACACTTGCACAAATAAACAAAACCCTCTCGCTTTTCCACCCACTCGGCCACTTTTCTTGTAATTTTCTAGCCAAAATGAAAAAAATGTTGCCCGAGTAGAACGAAACCGAAACCGGGAAAAATAGAAATCAGCCACACAAAAAAAATATATACACAAGGCAAACAAATGAGCGGCGGGACTTTTGACTTCTTTACACGCCCAAGAAAATGAAGAAGCAGCAGGAAAAAAGGGACAAGCTGGTTATAAAAAAAATAAAAACCTACACCCAGTGATTTGAACCTTTTTCCCTGGGACAGCACAAAATCAACCCAACATGAAGCCAAGGGAAAAAGTTAGAAGGAAACTTTTGCGGCAGGCAAATAAGACTGGGTCTTCCAAGGACGAGGACTAAAAACAGAGGGGTGTAAAGTGATATCATTAAAATATTGACAAGACAATTTTTACGCCTACAAATTTGTTGAATGCCTTTATTTGCACAGTAAGAGAGAAGAATATAGCATCGAGGAAAGAGAGCAAGTTGGGTTAAAGGATTTTATATGTGATATATCTTAAGCTTAGGACTTGGAACCCACTTCTGATTTGAATATATACTTAAATACGATACTCTCTTAAATTTCCGAGAAATCTATCCGTTTCCCTAATGCAAAAATAAGAAAGAATGAACCCACTTTCCAATGTAATTCTTTCTTTTTTGAACGAACGCCGCATTGAATGATTGCTTATCCAAAGTACAACCACCCGTGAAAAGCTTTGGCTTGAAGTGTTTCGTGTGGCTTTTTGTGCTGATTTGAAGACGTGCACACGGGAGTGGTGCATTGCATTTTAGCATCAATCATTATCATTTCCCATTAAGTGCAACAGCAGCAACAGCTTCTTTTCCATTAGCAACCCCTAGGTGTTTGCTCAAAAGAAAAGGGAGCTGGAAACATAAAGAAGAAGCGAATTTCTTTAATGTTTTATCACTTCACTTGGCCAGACACCTAACCACCCACACAGTGGCTTTGGTATATTCCTAACAAGGGGTTTTCTGAACTCTCAATTGGTGTTCGTAGTAAAATACAATAATCGGATAAGCAAGAATTTGTATTAAATTCTTAAAACATATTTATAAATAGTTGGTGTCTATAACACCCCCCTTGTCTTAGCATATTTGGATTTAGCCTACGTTGTCGTGGCGTTTTGTGCGCTGTTTTTTTTTTTTTATTTGAAATCCATTAAAAGCTATTTTTGCCGGCTGCTGGTGGGCCCAAGCTCATTAGTTTGATTACTGGCGAACAGGCGACACCTCTTTGAACCCCCCTCTGAAAAGAGAAAACCTCTTTCGATGCACCACAACCACCCCCAAGTAGACACCCCACTTACCCCCTGCAACCACCGGCCATGCACAGCTGTGATAAATGCACTCGTCTGACAACTAAATCACTTATAAATGCTGCTTCTGTGTGCGTAGATTCAGATTTATCTGTTACACATGTTCATAAATATGCGACAATATTTTTTTTGTCCTCGAAGGCGGCAGCCAAAGATGATCGACAGGAATATGAACGCGAAAAGGGGCCCTGGGATAGATCTACAGTTGTGGCAAAAATAATAGTAGTACTACAAAATATTCCGAACTAAAATATCAAATTTACTTTAATCACTCATTTCTAGAACTAAATGGCATTGACCTTTTGTTTGAAATTATTAAAAACATATATCCACTACTATTATCTTAACACAGCTGTGTTGGGTCGCTAAATTTTTGCCCAGAAATCGTGTTAAATGGAATTGCAACAGTTGTTTGTTGTTAGAGTCGGAGTGCAGCGGCGGCTCCTCACTTGCTGTGCGTTTGTTTGGCTAAGAGGCATGTGTTTATTTTTTCGCAGAAGTGCATTTTTATAGACAAAGTGCTTTGGTCCGCGTCTGGCTTCCAAAAATAAAAAGCAAAGGAAAAAAATACAAATAGAAAATAAAAAAACGTATGAAAACCCCAAAATAAGAAAACTAAAAGAAAAATTAAACGCCTCTTGACAGCGCAAACAAATGAACAACAAATTAGCAGCCAGCACAGCTTCCGTTTCGATTTTGTTGTTTATTGCCAATACTAACTAAGCGTATATTAATTTCAAACAAAAAACGACACGTACAGTGATACTTGTTATACTTTCTTTTTATCACACACGCTCAAACCAAAAACGATTGACATATGCGGAAAAAACCAGTGGAAAAAAAATGTATTTATTAAATAACATTCTCAATTTCATTTTTTTTGTTTTTGTTTTTATCTGGTTGCCCCTACAAAAATGTGTATAGTGTGTATACATATTTTTAGAATTTCTTTATCGACATATTTCAACATATTTATTTTAAGCACAACAAAAACAACAACGCGACAAAAAAAAAGGCAAAACCCAAACCCGAAATCAATTTTTTTTTATTAATTTTGTTTTGCGGCTAGATTTAGTTGTTTATCCTAACACCAGGCCACTGAAAAATACAAAATAAAAAAAAAATGGAACAATAACATATCTGATTAGCAGTAGGGAAAACCACAAATATTTATGGAGTTAACCCAATTTTAATGGTTACTTATGGATAAGTGTTTTTTTTCGGTTTTAATGCTTTCAGCAAGTGATTAGGTATAAATTAATTTTTATAAAAATTAATTCCAATGAAAAATATTTTTAGAACCTTTACCAAAAAAAAAAAAAAAAAAAAAACACAAAAAATGTGTGCCTGATAAGGAAACCGATTATTGAGCACTGGGCATTTTTCTGTCCCGCATCTCGTCAACACATCCATTCATTGACCAGCATTAACCGAAACTCGGAGGCATGATAGATAATCGGTTTAGAAATAGAAATAATCATAATTTTTCATGCACAAAATTCGATTTGTGCTTATCATCGCGTGACTGCGATACCCACACAGTTAATTCGATCCCACGACGGGCGTTCAAAAATAAATATAATTCTAATTCTCGCATTGACGGATGGGTTTCTCGGCTAATTGGAATTGAAGTATGTTTTGGAGTCAAATATTAAATATATATATTATATATATTTATATGTATATATTTGTTTGCTCAGCTCGTCTACGTCAGAGGCAAAACCCCAAAGGGTTGGCTCGATCATATAGTATATGTCACAAATTTGGTTGACAGACCCAAATATTTAGATACACGCTCCAGCCAAAAAAAAAACAATGCCGGTGTGTTATTTTTAAATGCAAATCGAGGGGAAAATCCATCAAATGTCTAACGCAAATAATCTAAAATTAAACTTAGCCGACAAGACGGCAGAAAACCAGATCAACTGTTTAAACAACTCATCGATCCGCCTGAGAAATTTTTTGTTAAACTCTCGTTTCAACAATTTTTTCTCTCTTTTTCTAATCAAAAGAAGAAAAAAAAACAAATGAACAAATAAATTCAAAATCGTAATCTTTGATTTCAAGGCAAGAGCTCAATTACTTTAGATTCTTTATTAATTTCATTCTCATTAGGTGTATTTGTTGCTGGTTTTTTGCACTTGTCAAATGTCCAAAAATTGGAACGTAGCAAACCAAATATTATTGGCGATTATTCGAATTTAGTATGAGTTATTATGCCAATCGAAGCAAATGTTTGACAATTACAAAATATATTCGGCGGTGTGATCCTCATAAAAAAAAAACAAAAAATAATAACAAAAAGAAAACATGAAACGGGTGAGGGTTACATATAATATAGAATTCACGTATTGGATTAGTGGTTTAGTTATTGAAATTGGTCTCTCTATACCCCCAACATGATATTAGTCTCAATTCGAACACAAAAAACGAACTGAAATGTACAAAAAGAAAACAAGTCAGTCATACGAATAATATCAATAACAATAATAATAATAATAATAATGCAAATACAGATACAAATTCAAGTCGCACAATTGCAATTATTCAATTCAAATCAATCAGCACACGAATACCATAGCACATGGATTTACTGGAGACATTGAGCTTAGTTTAGGACAACTACTACTGCCTGCAATGATTGCTGCTGTATATTGCTGTTGCTGTTGTGCTTATCGTGGCTGTTGTTGCTATTTGTATTTGCTGATTAAAGTGAAAAACAGTCATTATCGTGTTCAGTGGCGTAGCCCAAAGGGGTTGTTCAATGGGATCTCTCTAGGTAGTCGATTGGCTGGCTTTAATTTAATTATATAAATAATTTAAAGATTTCACTTCAATTTCTTGAAAAACTTTAAAAACAAAATAATAATATTTTAAAAAATTATAAGTTCCAGAGGATCCCCTTTTTTTTATGACGCTCCTGATCAAACCACATCCAAACACACATATCTGAAGCCTAGGCACAGCACAGTAACCCTCTGGCTTTTTCGACCAATTGTGGATAAATTCAATTTATTTATCGCATATGGATTCTGATCGGCGA